ACTTCCGTAGTGATACTGCCTCGGAAACCCAAGGAGGGGTCGCTATGAGTTGGGTCTGACTCGACAGCACATAACAACAACAACAACATAATGTTACATGATATAGCATAATAACATGCATGATGAAAGTAAAGCTTGGGGAGGTCAAGTAATTTTCCCCAAATCATAAAGCTTATAAGATTCAGAGTCCAAGCTCAACCTCAGAATTTATGTCCTTAACCTCTAGGCTAAATCATTATCTTCTGTGTTTCCATATAAGAAGCTCTGGTGGTGCAGTGCCTAAGCCATTTGACTCCTAACAAGAAGGTTGGGGGTTCAAATCCACCCAGAGGTGCCATGGAGGAAAGGCAATCTACTTTTGATTGCCTGGTGACCTACTTCTAAAGTCTGCCATTGAAAACTCTATGGGGTACAGTTCTACCCTGACACACATGAGTCAACATTGATTCTAAGTCAAGTAGTGTTTCAATGTTGAACAGCTCAGAGTTAGAGACCACAACGTACAACCCTCAGCAAGGTGCCTGCTTCTCCCCAAATGAGGAGTCCTGGATGATTATGACCTTTAGATGTTAGCTAACCAAAGAAGCCCTGGTAACAGAAATAGTTAAGCACTCCGCTGCTAATGAATGGTTAATTGACAGTTTGAATGCAGCCAGTAGCTCTACAGGAGAAAGGCCTGGCCATGTGCTTCCATAAAGATTACAACCTCGAAAACCCAACAGCACAGTTCTGCTCTTTCACAGAGGGTCACTATGAGTCCAAAACAACTCAACACCACCCAAAAACAAGGGAGTCAATTACGATTTGGCATGTGAAAATGGAATTACGTATCAATTCTTTTAAAGTATTTAAGCATACTAATTCCAATGGGTTCAGTTACCTATATTGAAGTTTGCAAGCATTTTCTGTAAAGGGTCAGATAGCAAATATTTTAGGGTTTGTAGGCCATCGGGTCTCTGCCACATGACTCTGCCACTGTAATACAAAAGCGGCCATGGACAACATGGGAAAAATGGGCGTGGCTGTGTTCCAATAAAACTTTATTTGTGGAAACTAAAATTTGAATTTCTCCTAATTTTCACATCGAAAATATTACTCTTGAGTTTTTAAACCATTTAATAATGTAACCATCATTCTTAGCTTGTTGTTGTTCTTGTTACGTGCCGTCGAGTCAGACCCGACTCATAGCGACCCCTCCTTGGGTTTCCGAGGCGATATCACTGCGCAAGTACATTGCCCAACCTTCCTTCCGAGGAGTGGCTGGCGGATTTGAACCACCAGCCCTCTGGTTAGCAGTCAAATGCCTTAGGCACTATGCTACCAGACTATACAAAAATAGGCAGTGTGCCAGATTTGGCCTGCTGATTGTAGTTTGCTGACCCCTGATATAGAGAGATCGGGGTTGTTTAGTAGCCTACACATATTTGTTTAGCATCTACCACCATGTGTCAAAGGAGCCTGGTAATGCAATGGGTAAATACCCAGCTGGTCACTGAAAGGCTGAAGGTTCTAACCCACCAATGGCTCCATGGGAGAAAAGACTTGGCGATCTACTCCTGCAAAGATTACATACTCAGAAACCCTAAGGGACACTTCTACTACATCATGTACCAGCAACCAGTCCTGGGACTCTGTGTTATCAGCTGCACATCGGCTGAGCTTAGGAGCTCACGAGCCTTGTCTTCATTGTTCACCTGGCTGTGGTGTCCCGAGCATCCCAGACAGTGCCTGACACGGAACTGTCATGGACTAGGAGTGCAATGGTTAAGTGCTCAGCTGCAAATCAAAAGGTCAATGGTTCGAACCCACCACCCAACTCCATGGGGGAAAGATGTAGCAGTAAAGACCACAACCTTGGAAACTCTATGAGGCAGTTCTCCTCCATCCTATAGGCTCACTATGAGTCAGAATCGACTCAGTAACAATGTGTTTGATTGATTTGGTAAAGTGTGTCCGCCCAAGCCACGGTCTTTGCAATCACCTCATATGCTTGTGAAAGCTGGACAATGAAAAAGGAAGACAGAAGACAAATCGATGCCCTCAAACTGTGGTGTAGACTGCCAGATGAATGAACCAAATAGTCTTAGAAGAAACACAACCAGAACACTCCTTAGAAAGGAGGATGGGGAGATTTCGCCTCACTTACTTTGAATGCATCATAAGGAAAGACCAGGCACTAGAAATGGACGTCATGATTGGTAAAGCAGAGGGCCAGAGAAAACGAGGGAAGCCCTCAATGGTATGAATTGATACAACAGCCACAACAATGAACTCAAACACACCAATATCATGAAGATGACACAAAGTCAGGCAACATCTCTTTCTATTTTACACAAGGTTGCCAAGAGCTGGAGCCAACATGACAGCAACTAACAACAAACACCTGGCTAACAAGTGACTAAATGCATCAGGTACCTCATGAGTTAAATAAGAAATTGGACTTCTAGGGCTGCCTAGAAACCTAACCAAGCCATGTCATGT